TAACAAGAGATATTTGATTCACAACTTTGGCAAAACTATGAGATTAAATATCCTGAATGATGATGCTTTCAGTAATTTACTGTATTTTACTTTTATGAACTCTAATGAGAGAAAAATTTGTACTTTCTCATGTGAATTAAATTCTTTCACATTTGTGTATGAGTGTGTTGTACTCATCCATCTTCTCTCTGTGTTCCCATGGCAGCCGACGACCCCCAGCATCACCTACTCGACCCAACAGACCCACAGACTCCTCCCTCTTAGACTATTAGCCCCTCCCACACCCGTGACAGACAGCTAGAACAGACACGCCCACTCAGCCAAAACTCCTCCCCTTCTCTCTCCTCAACTCACACACACATTAATACACATCATACAACTCTACAACCCTCTGTCACAGCTTAACCTTTAATTTCACACAATTCGGTCATCATCAAACCAAAATGTAGAAAAGGAAACGTACTTGAGGAACTATTGACATCTTGAGAGCTGGAAGTTCGAAAGCCCTTATTTAGGAAACGTAGAACACAACATTTTCATGAACTCAAGCTCTTTGACAGACGGTTGATGAGTTTTACATCACTGTTTATGCTGCTTATCTTCAAGAATGAGCTTGATAGGAAAAGTTAGATGAATGAGCACAGGGTTTGATAAATGCATTTCTGTCACTTTATTTACTTTCTGTCATCTTTAAGCTTCTTTTGGTTCTCAGACGCTTGGTTTCCTGCAGTCTATGGATGCATTATCTCTCCAAAGTGTATCTGGAGTCTCATGATAACTGCATCTTCTGGAATGAGCTCGTGTGCATCTGTGTTTCTGTTCATTACTTTGGCTCTTTTTGTTTTTGTTTCGCATGCTGCAGTGGTCCCTGAGCTCACGGGCCAGAAGACGACACCAAACCCCCCCAAAGGGTAACAAACTTTCCCATAGTTCCACAGTCCTTATTCCACACCAGTCTTCCCTCTCTGAATCACGAGTCTCTTACTGTATGTAGGCTGAGAAAGTCACTGACAGTAAAGTTGCACACTTCTTTAAACCAGCTTTAAATCTATTATAAGTCAACACTATAATAACTTGCACTTAAGCCACAGTTAAATGTCTGAATGTCATTACATTCGATAGTTACAAGAGTTTTTCACAGGGGTGTTTATGAAAACTGATTCAAATGAATCATATGGTTCATTTAATGATTCACTTTTTCGAAGCGCACGCTGGCGACACCTGCTGGTCGAAACCGTGTAACTACAACGAGAACATAGCACAATAAGATATGACGACGCCTTACAAACCATGTGTACTCGATTAAATATAGCATACAAATTATTCAATATTAAGTATATTTTGTGTTCTATTATTTATTTATAGTCCTTTGTGTGTTTTTGAGAGAGTTCGAGCTGGCCGAATACAAGATGCGTGACGTAGGCAAAAACATTTCTTAAAGATTGAAAGTTTACAGTTAAATATATTTGTTTTTGCATTGTATTTGTTAAAATTTTGTTATTGGAATGATATTGAAAAATTAATCGACGTGCGCTGATTATTCAGGCATATTTGAGCAATTAATGACGTGATTGACCAATCAGAATGAAGTATTCTAGCGCGCGAGTACTAGAAAAAAACTAATAAAAATAAATATGTACGAAAATAAGAATTAAAAATAATTATTTTTACTAAAATAATAAAAAAAAATGTAAAAATAAATAAATACTGCTGCACAATACTATAGCAGAAAAAAAACTTTAACTTAATTTAAATAAATGTTATAGTATTAATTTTAGTCTTTGAACATATAGCTGACTTTTAAAAATTAACTAATTTTATAATCTAAATAAAATGCACAGAGATTCCAAAATAATCTGAAAAGTTTTAAAAAGCTGCAGAATTGGATTTTTTCTTTCATACAGTGACTTTAGGACTGGTCTTCTCTCCGAGCGACTCGAGCACAGGTTCTGCTGAGCTTTCGTTGGTCTGGATGCTTACTCTTCTGTCTTCTTTTCTCCTCTGCTTTCATGGCTCAGCCGGTCAAACACAGCGGCCCTTTTCTCCCTTTAGCATCGCTTTCTTCTTCTGCTCCTCCCCACATCGAGTAAAGCAACCCAAGCCCACCAGCACAACAGAAGCAACACCAACCCAGAGATCCAGGACCACAGCCATCAAACCTTCTAGAATCTCGCTAAAGGGACCGTTCACCCAAAAAAATGAAAATTCACCCTCATGTCGTTTCCAACCTGTACAATTCTCCCAAAATACATTCTGAAGAACTAAACGCTTTCGGGTCCCATTGACTCCCATTGTTTGGACAAACAGTACCGTGAACGTCAGTGGGACCCCAAACCATCCGCTTCCCAACATATCTGTTCCAAAGCCATTTCCCCCCACACTGCAAACAATCATGATCTCCGTCTCTTTTTCTAGTTACTAGCTACTGTAAAACCTGAAAAAAGCATTAAAATAGGGATTTCCTCGCGGTGCAAACGTTGTGCCGATGTAAAAGCTCTCAGGTACGAGGACGTGTGTTCACCCTCAGTGCTTGTGCTCAGAAATCATTCATTCATTAGTGAATCTGAAGCTTCGGTGGGGCTGGACTGAATTAGAGAGTGCAATATATTCATTTAAAACACAGTAGTGCAGTTTTAGGGTGAACAGACGTTCTCGGGTTCGGTGAGACGCTTGTGTGTTTACAAATGATTTAATAAACGAGTACAGACTAATGCTGAAGACTGGTGAGCGTTCAGGACGAATGATCATGTCGGGATGGTTGTCCACACACAGGCTGTGTTTAGAATTGAATACTTGCTGTACAGTATACACTGCTTACTGTTTTTAACAAGCAGTGCTAAACAGTAGTATGCTGCATTGCTTCATTTTAGCAAGAAAATTAGTTTTTGCATTTTTAAGTCTGATAAATTGGCATTTTTTGCAAATGTAGTCAGTAATGTGGGTATTCATACAGATCATATGCACACTGCGCATAGTGTATATACTGCAGAAATAGTTACAGTAGTATGATATTCTGAACATAGCCACATATGTACATTTTTTGTTTAACTTGCCACATTGATTCCACCACATCAGTCAAGCCACAAACTTTCTTATTGGATAAAAATTTGATTCTTTTTGCTGGGATATTAAAGAAAGTTACTAAAAATAGTAGCACCAATGGACATTTTTCATGTGTGTGTGGACAAACCGTCCCTGTGCATTGAAATTATGCAAATGTATCTCAAGTCTGATTTTCCTGTCTGTAATTTAAGGTTCGTTATGAAAATCAAGATGTAGCAACAACGAAACGTTAAATATCACTGCTGGGCTATGCATAGAAATATGAAGGAGAACATATGAACACAACACTGTAATTCTGTCGTTTGTTGTAATAATTCTAAAGATAATAAAGCCCCTGTTGCTGATAGTTGGCGTTGTGGCATGACCACACAGCTTTAACTGTACCGTATATCAACAGTATGTTTCTGTCGGCAACATGCACACCAAACCTTCCCAGAATCCACTCGGGAGTCTTAGTAAAACCCACGAACCAGAAAAGATTTACCGTTATTTAAGAGTCCGTCATGGACATACTGGATCTTAAGTGTGTGTCAAATTGTGCTTCCACTGTTTAGAGACTAGTCCACATGTATGATTATTGAATATTAAATTATTATGGGTAAATAAACCGGGCCTCTTTCTGCGTTTGGACAGAAAGGTGTTACAATACTGAGTGTGTAACGTGTCTCTGCTTGGACGGGTTTGTCATCAGTAAAGTTCAGTGTACCAAAATGTTGTTTTTGTGTCGTTTTTCTTGTCTTCAGAGAACTTCAAAGATATTTTTAGCATTCAAGTCAAGTATGAAATGAAATGCGGAGTGTAGTTTTCTTTCCTGTGCTGATGTATTTCTATGGAAGGTCATTGCTGCCACAAAAGAAAAAAAAGCATGTTTTGGTAAACCACAATTATGACAATCATAATTATGAGGTGCATCAAAATTATACTTGCAACAACTTTTTTTGACTCGGTGTGTCAATTTTGACTTTTAACATCAGATTTAATATCACAATCATGCCTTTTATTATCTAATAACTATGACTTGATATTTTTTTTCATGACTATTTAACTCAAGTATGAGAATCAAAATTGACATATTGAGTCATAATTATGAAAGAGGTCAAAATTATGACATAAAAAGGTAAAACAGTTAGTCATTATTTTCACTTGTCTTAATGACTTGTCATAATTATGGCAAAATAATAATTATGAGATACCAAGTCACAATTATGAGATTATAGATAAATTATAGACCAATAGAATTATAGATCTAAAATTATGACTTAAGCTATAATTGAGATAAACCTTAAAAAATTGATTGAGGTTGTCAAAATTGACATATCAAGTCATAATTATGAGATGTCAAAATTGACAAATCAAATCATAACTGAAGAAACAAGTCAAAATTGACATACTAAGTCAATTATGATAGTCAAAATTATGACAGTCCTAATCATTACATAAATCAAAATTATGATAAAAGTTAAGATGTCAAAATTCAGTCATAATATAAATTATTTCAAAATCTAAATTAACTAGTCATAATTATGGGATGGTAAGTTATAATAACCAAAATGGTAAATTATAATTATGAAATCAAGAGATTATGAGATCAAGTCATAATTAAGGGATAAAAAAAAATCTAAATTATGATACTAAGTCACAATAATGAGATTAATTATAAAAGTCACTTGTGACAAAAGGCAAAACTGTCAATTAGTATATAAATTTGAACTTTTATGTCATAATTATGACATTGTTACTTAGAATTTACCAAAGCATGCATCTCATGTGGAAACATTCAAAGTAGTCTCTCAGTGAAGTCATTAAAACAACGCTGATTACAAGAGTTTTAGCAGTGCATTAACATTATATACAACAAATACTAGAAACCATGCATTGCATCTCAACAGAGAACGAAATCATATTCAATTCCCAAATCATGAACTTCAGACATAAAATGGTCTTCATTTTGCTCAATCAGGTTTATTTAGGAGGAAAATCATCACTCGAACTACTCATTATTCCTTCATTGTGTTCCATCAGTCTAGAGTAAAGCAGATTAGTGTGTAACTATCCCAAATAAATAGAATTCTCCTTTAGTTCAGCCGCAGTATGAAACCACACTAACATCCCGTCCTCTCTTCGCACTGAGTCTTCAGCAGACAAACGCAAGCCTTCCTCCAGTCAATATACAGTATGATACACAGTTACACTATTTACACGTCTGTTACATGAACACGCGAAACAATCAACGTCTGATTAAAGCCCACGCCCAAAACAATCACTGGAAAATATATTCATACATGGAGAGCGCAGATAGAAATGATGCAGAAGCTCGACACTCACAAAAGTGCAGCAGGGTGAAACACAGTATTCAGATGTAAACTCGATCCACACGCCTTCCAGTTATAACCGCATACACGTGTTCAATTCTTCAGGTGAATACAGATACGGCAACACTTTCTATGAAGCCTGCGTGTAAATACAATGCATTAGAGAGCAATGCACAATGCATTCTACTTCAGAATTGGTTGAATGTTTTTGTAAGTACCTGTAGATTAATATGCATTCACTTCTAAACAGCATAATGCATGCAAAATGCATCACACTCTTTAAAGGTGTAGCTGCGATTACATTTATTTACAAAAACATACAATTGCAAGACATGAGGAAGAGCGTCATCTTCACAGAAAGTGTTGCCAAATCTGATGATGGAGGATGTTTATGAATGAATTCACCGTTCAATATATCTTCATATATTCTCTAGTATATGTCCAGCTCTCATAAACGCGCTATCATTCACTCCACATACACACGCCACTCCAAACTCTCGGCTGACGGACGCTAGAGTCATAAAGTTAGCCGCAAACAATCGCCGACATCTCGAAAGCTTCGACGTCACGCAGTCTACAAAAAACAGGTGCTTGTGTGTTTTTAGGGAAGAAATTATAACTACATCTTTCAATAAATCCCAATTAGAAAAGCAAAACAACTCGGTTGTAAACTTCTTGTGTCCACTGAACACTCTCGGCTCGATTCTAACCTACAATGTGATGCATAAAGCATCGAATCAGATCGAATGATTCATCAATAAATGTTTACTTCCGATTAATTTCCTTCTCAGTAATCTGCCCTACATAAACACTTCATTATCTGATGCTCTCAGAAAACACTTCATCATCTCGGTCCAGACCTGCTTTATCATTTCAGTATTACTCATTACTGTACCCTAGTTAGTGTGCGAGTTCATTACATAAGGAGTTCACGATCTGAATCATACTGATATGAATCACTGAGGTGTCACCTGTCTATTGCACTTGTTTGATAAAGTGAAAGAGGACAAATGGGAGAGGGACAAAAACTGATATTCTTATGGATTAACTGGTTTACAGACAAACCGAGCGGAACCGGGAAGCTTCAGAAGTCATCAAATTTCTCTTATTCGCTGTAGAAACCAGAGAAACAGAGAGGGAAAACCCATTTAATACGTGTGTCCTTTTCGCCAGAAGCCAAGCAGGAAAGATTCGGATGAGACGGACGCTGTCAGACCACCAGGATCTTGACCTCGTCGTGCTCGTCGGGCCGGTAGAAGAACGGGATGCAGGGGTTTTCTCCCAGGAAGGGAGCGGGTCTGGCCTGAGGGTTCTGGATCTCCTGCAGGAGCTGCATGATCTGGCGGGCCGTGCCGTCCGGTGCGGATCCAGGCCTCTCTGGACTCTGGGATTGAGTCTGTGGGTCTGTGCTGGACTGATGCGCTGTAGACGCCTCCACCGCTGCGCTCAGCTCCAGAACGGCTGAGTGAAGATTTTAGGAAAACAACACAGAACATACAATCAGCTGGTCATACAATTTGAATATCAGAGTAAATGATATTTTGTCAATCTGATGATGCAAAAACTGCCTGTAGATTCCATCAGAGCTCGAATGACAGCATTCTTGCATTATTTAGAGCTATAAGAGTTAAAGTTGAATTAAATGCCAGGTACAGCCAGAGCACAAATAATAACAACCAGGCAAAAATTTATAATGTGGGACTTTAACAAAACAGAAGACAGAAAATGTCACGCATGGATTCCAGGAACATTTTTAAGTGATTTATAAAATGGTTTTAGGATTCGCACGCTTTCTGACTAATTAATTTCCATGTTTTCTTTTGTTTTCTCCAGTCGGATTGATTGGGAAAGAAAAAAAAATTAACAAATCACACTCAAAGGTATTTCTTGCTGAAGAAATAGTTTAAAACTGAGCATAAGTAGAAAAGATTACATTGACTATATTGTATTGACTTTTCCTTTTATACTACAAATTAATGTATTAAAATAATATTGCTATTATTAAAATTGAGCATAAGAAAAATGTATACTGAGTTCAGAGTATTGGACTTTTCCTTGTACATTTTAAATATATGAAAATATGCTATTATTAAAATTAATTATTATTAATATCATTAATTAAAAACAAATAGTTTAAAAATGAGCATAACTAGGAACATTTATATTGACTGTAGAAATACTTTTTTTACTTTTATATTTTCAATTAATGCATTAAAACAATATTGTTTTAGTAGTGATAATTATTACTTATTAATATGACTACTATTAATTAAAGAGAAGTTTAAACTGAGCATAGCAAGAAACATTTAAACTGACTATAGAAAATTTCAAGACTTTTCCTTTTAGTGCTAATTAATATATTTAAAAAAATGTTTTGCTATTAATAGTATTAATGATTTTTATCAATAATAGTACTATTACTATAGTACTTGATATTGTCAATAAAATTTCTTTAAATTTTTCCAGGCCTCAAATCTCACTTCTGAAAGTGTAGCGCCTGTAGCTGAACTGGTTCACTGAATCGACTCATCTGAGCGAACTGAATCGGTATGAGTTTGTATGAGTGAGACTGTGCTGTAGCACCTGGGCTTTCCGTGTGTCCGTCAGCAGGATGGAGGCGTTCTCCTCCAGAGGACAGGAGGTCAGGGTTACCAATGGCGCTCATGTATCTGCTGTACCACTCGTTACGCTCGCCCACCAGACGCATGACCAGATCCTGCAGCTCCGCTAGCTTCGCCTGAACACACACACACACACACAGGTCAACATCACGCCACAGATGTCACTCCATCTAGACATGTGCCGGTATTCAGTAATGCGATATATCACGATAATGAATATGCACGATACTGTTATCTTGGGCACTTACAAATTATTCAGAATTTTGAATGCATTTTAAGAATAGTTTTCCCATCAACTGGTCACCAGTAGGTTTCCGAAGAGCGTTTTTGAAGCCTAAAGTGGGCAGAGCCGGCCGTCGCCATCTTGGCAGCGTGTCACCGCGCGTCACTCCCGGATAATCAAAAATGGGCAAAGAGGCGAGAGCTCGATGGCGGTGACAACAGCAATCCACCCGTCACTCAAGCCACAGATGTCACTCCATCTAGACATGTGCCGGTATTCAGTAATGCGATATATCACGATAATGAATATGCACGATACTGTTATCTTGGGCACTTACAAATTATTCAGAATTTTGAATGCATTTTAAGAATAGTTTTCCCATCAACTGGTCACCAGTAGGTTTCCGAAGAGCGTTTTTGAAGCCTAAAGTGGGCAGAGCCGGCCGTCGCCATCTTGGCAGCGTGTCACCGCGCGTCACTCCCGGATAATCAAAAATGGGCAAAGAGGCGAGAGCTCGATGGCGGTGACAACAGCAATCCACCCGTCACTCAAGTGGCCACGCCCTTAATTATACAGAACTTTAAGGCTTAATATAATTTAAACGGATGAGTTATAAAAAAAACTCACCCGCCTCACAGTTATCATGAAGGGCAAAATTAGCTATATAGACCAAAATAATAGTTTGAATCAGGCTGCAAACATGTTTATTTCTGCTGTAAAGTTGGGCATTTTAACATGGGGAGTCTATGGGATTGACTCTCTTTTGCAGCCAGCCTCTAGCGGCCAGTCGATGAATTACAGTTTAAGTCACTTCCGTGTTGGCTTCACGAGAGAGAGCGGGAGGGTGCCGCTTGGTCACGATGCACAAAACCGCTGTATGCTGCGTCAAAGACGTGAGAAGACATGAGAAGAGCATGGCGGAGCACGTGAAGGAGAATGATAGCACATTCACTCTCTGACAGCAGATGGCGCTAAACAGCAGAAATGCAGCCGTTACCCCGGAAACCCCGTAAAGGAAGCAGCTGAGCTACTTAGTTTCTGAAAGGTGTTTAAATGATTTAAATAGCCATTCAGATTCACTACGGTGTTCATCACAGCACCAAATACTTAAATATTTAGACTTAATAGGCTATTTATATTCGATCTTTTTTACATTTGTGACCCTGGAGCACAAAACCAGTCTCAAGTGTAAATTTTTTGAAATTGAGATGTATGCATCATCTGAAAGCTGAATAAATAATCTTTCCATTGATGTATGGTTTGTTAGGATCGGACAATATTTGAAAATCTGGAATCTGAGGGTGCAAAAAAATCTAAATATTGAGAAAATCATCTTTAAAGTTGTTCAAATGAAGTTCTTAGCAATGCATATTACTAATCAAACATTAAGTTTTGATATATTTACGGTAGGAAATGTACAAAATATCTTCATGGAACATGATCTTTACTTAATATCCTAATGATTTTTGGCATAAAAGAGAAATGTATAATTGTGACCCATACAATGTATTGTTGGCTATTGCTACAAATATCCCCCAGCGACTTAACACTGCTTTTGTGCTCCGGGATCACAAATTAATCTGGACTACAACATGCCCTAGATATTTTGTGAAAGTGTTTTGATTCTTTATTGTTCGGTCACTCTTTGCATTAGGGCTTCATTAGTTAACTCATTAGTTAACAAAAACAGCCAATGAAAAATTCTTCTAAACTTTAATTAATCTTAGATAATTCCAATATTAATTAACACGTTTTTAAAATCAAAAGTTGCAACTGTGTTGCTAACATGAACAGAGTTGTATTTTCAACAAAGATTAATAACTTCTGTAGCAAATGTAGCCATCGCTCATTGTGAATGTTAACGCATTAACTAAGATTAACTAATGAGGTCTTATTGCAAAGTGATACCTATTGGTCTTTATAAATGTTTAGCACTTTAATCTGTGTAACATTTGTATCTTTTTTGTGTATTTCTGTATTGTATTTAAATGTTCAGTTATTTTTGTTATAAGAAAGACGTTGTTAAACCTGTTATACTGTATTATGACAACACTTTTTTTGCAACTAAATTTCAATACCGTGATAATAACTTTGAAAATTGACACCGCAACATGAAAATTTGATACCGGCATATCCCGAACTCCTCGTACCTTCATCTCCTCCTTGTCTTTGGCCAGCATGCTGATGTACTGCTCCTTCTCATAGTGTCTTTGTTTCATGATGGCTCTTTGGTTCTGATACAGCGCGATGTATTCACCTACACACACACAACACAACACACACATCCGTAAACAAAAACTCCCGATGCGACGGCGTCAGATTTTCATATCACAATAACTGCTACATCTCTCATCTCTGAATTGAACACAACAAATTTTAAGTGCAAAGGAACAAAGAACAACAATAAAGAAACAGATCATTTTCAAGCAATATCTAGATATCTTCTCTGGGCTGGCTTGGGTAAGTTTGTGTAAACAAGTGCAAAGTAAAGATAAAGTCTTTATAGAAGTATTTGAGGGAAAAGAAGCTAAAGTGCATTAAAAATGTTTTATTTATAAGATATCGACAAATATTTATTGTGTTGTGAAGGTGAAGTGATAATACTATGCATTATCTGCGATATATCCAACATATTACTAAATACGGGCACATTATTAATTAATCAGAAATAGTTTAAAACTGAGCATTAGTAAAAAAAATGATATTGATTATAGCAGTAGCAATTTAAATTAATATATTAAATATTAATAGCATTATTATTACTTATTAATATTAATACTATTAATTAAATAGAACGTTTAAAACTGAGCACAAGTAGAAACATTTATACTGACTATATAGTATTACCTGTGTTTTATTGAATTAATTTTTAAACCAATATTGCTATTAATAGTATTATTTTACTTAAGTAATAAGTTTAAAACAGAGTATTAGTATAAAGATTTATATTGACTATAGATTGTTGGATTTTTTTTTTACTTTTTGAATTGATATTATAAAAATAATTGCTATTCATATTATTTATTACTATTACGTATTATTAATTAAATAGAAATATCATAACTAGACAAACTTATATATAGACATGACAATAGTATAATATGTGAGCCTGCAGCACAAAAGCAGTGTTAAGTCGCTGGGGGATATTTGTAGCAATAGCCAACAATACATTGTATGGGTCACAATTATACATTTCTCTTTTATGCCAAAAATCATTAGGATATTAAGTAAAGATCATGTTCCATGAAGATATTTAGTAAATCTCCTACCGTAAATATATCAAAACTTAATGTTTGATTAGTAATATGCATTGCTAAGAACTTCATTTGAACAACTTTAAAGATGATTTTCTCAATATTTAGATTTTTTGCACCCTCAGATTCCAGATTTTCAAATATTGTCCGATCCTAACAAACCATACATCAATGGAAAGCTTATTTATTCAACTTTCAGATGATGCATACATCTCAATTTCGAAAAATTGGCCCTTATGACTGGTTTTGTGGGCCAGGGTCACAAATGAGAAATAAAGCATTTGTCAAGCAGGTAGAAACCTCCTGCGCTTCATGTATTTGGACACACAGTGGCAGAAGTGCTTGACGAGTCGTCCCTGCGTGTGCAGCAGCGGTGTCTCACCGATGGTGTCTGTTTCTCCTGACAGCTGAACGCAGCGGTGCTCCAGCTCCTCCAGTCGCTCCCTCAGATCCACCTTCTCCTGCATGAGCGTCGTGAAACGCCCCTGGAGTTTCTCCATGGCCAGCCGCAGAGCCTCGTGCACCTCCACCGGGACCCCGTCAGAGCCTCCTACAAAAGGTACAGTAATCGTTAGAGAGTAAAATAATAAATGTGACCCTGGAGTCTTAAGTTGGTGGGGGATATTTGTAGCAATAGCCAACAATACATTGTATGGGTAAAAATTATAGATTTTTCTTTTATGCTAAAAATCATTAGGATATTTATTTATTCAGCTTTCAGATGATGTATACATCTCAATTTTGAAAAATTGACACTTAAGACATAAGAACATTTAGATAAGCTACACCAACGGTTCGATTTGATTTTTTCTTTTATTGTCAATGTTGAAATTAACAAATTATTATCAATGTTTTTGCTGCTTAATATTTTTGTGGAAACTGTGATACATTTGTTTTTCAGGATTCTTTGACAAACATATACTTCAAAAGACTAGATTTATTTGAAATGGAAATCTTTTGTAACACTATAATTGTCTTTAATGTTACTTTTGATCAACGCAAAAAATATATTAATTTCTTTGTTTTTAGTGTAGTTTATCATGGGTTCCACAGAAATATTGTGCAGCACGACTGTTTTCAACATTGATAATAATCAGAAATGTTTCTCGAGCAGCAGATCAGCATATTATACTGATTTCTGAAGATCATGTGACACTGAAGACTGGAGTAATGATGCTGAAAATACAGCTGCGCATCACAGAAATAAATTACAGTTTAACATATATTCACATAGAAAACAGCTGTTTTACATTCTAATAATATTTAGCCATTTTTACTGTATTTTTAATCAAACAAACGCAGCCTTGATAAGCAGAAGACTTCTTTCAAAAACATTAAAAAAATAATAATCTTAATGTGTATAGGAGATTTTCAAACTACACATCTTAAATGTCTTTAAAAGTTTATTAAAAGCAAAAATAGAATAGTCTGTGTGATTTGAGTGCAGTGAAGCTCAGGATGAAGCTGCACCTGTGCTGTGGTGGTGATGCTGCTGCTGCTGCTCGTGGCTCATGGCTGCCATCTGCTGTCGAACAGCGTGATGAAGTCTCCTCTCCTCCTCGAACCGGCGGCTCATCTCATCTCGCTCTTCCTCCAGACGCGACAGAGCAGAGTGAATAAACTCCTCCTACAACCAGAGGAAAAGAAAAAGTCACTTCCGAGTGAAACGTAACATTTAATAAGGAAAACATGTCAGGCGCAGCTAAAAAAAAAAAAA